GTGACAGTGCCAAACTATGTTAACCTTTAAGGTTAAACAGATTATCTGAAATCACAGAGAAAAATAATTTAATAAGATATGCTAAGTTTTGGGTCGAAGGCTAAACATGAGGGAGAAGGAAAAGTTTCTCTGGGGCCTGTTTGACAAACAAATGTCAGATTCATAAACCTGGTGATAATAATGAGATAAAAAAAATAAACCTGATTTGAACAGTGATCCACACATGTGCATGACTTTAGGCTTTAATGTCTTTAAAATATAAATGAAATCCAAAGTTTGGAATCAACTGATAAATCTTAAAGATCATATGATCATAGGTTTTGTATATCTGCTAGGATATATATATATATATATATATATATATATATATATATATATATATATATATATATATATATATATATATATACATATATATATATATATATATATATATATATATATATATATATATATATATATATATATATATATGTATATATATATATATATATATATATATATATATGTATATATATATATATATATATATATATATATATATATATATATATATATATATATATATATATATATATATATATATATATATATATATATATATATATATATATATATATATATATATATATATATATATATATATATATATATATATATATATATATATATATATATATATATATATATATCGGCACTGAGTTTTCATTTGAATGATGCATCCAACATTTCTAAACATTTATAACAGCACACCTGTTTACATTCGCAATTAAAAATACATCTATACTTTTTCATGAAAATAATAAGCATAAACTAAAAATTCTTGATGCTTATCCTGAGACCAAACTTGAATGAAATTAATTATGAATACTGCATAAATGTTTTAAAATGTTTACAGTAGATAGTTTAAATTATCGAGGTTTGTACTAATAGTTTTTAATACTTATTTTGAAAAAAATCTCTCAACAACTTCATAACTTAGTTACCTCCCCTGAAGCATTACTCAAGCTAATTTCAAAGCACTAAACTCAGTGTTCTTTACTTCACAAGTAAAAAAAAATTAACTTTCAGATGAAAGCAGCAATTTTGTCCTTGAAAATTATGAACATTTGTCTTGAAATAAACTACACTCTGATGATGACATTGTGCTAATACCAAAAGTACTCGGAATAAATAATATGTATCAACACAGTAATTTTCTCCCTTCCTTTAATTATGATACCAAAAAGCTTGTCTGTGAATATGAAAGGATCCAATTGAAAACAAGTAAACACAACTTGTCTAACATTCAATGAAACTTGTATATATATATATATATATATATATATATATATATATATATATATATATATATTACTTCAAATATTATTTTTAATTTCTTGAACAAATATTAAAAATCATCAGAAAATCAGAACCTTGACAAAACTAATAAAAATGGTGGAAAGTTCCTTTCCTTATACCTTCAAAACCTAAATGCAGAAACTAATCCCTTACCAAAAATCTTATTAAATATAATAGACATAACTTCTCTGTTGGTCATTTATACATATATATATGTAGGTATATATATTTTATATATATATATATATATATATATATATATATATATATATATATATATATTATTTTATTTTTTCAGGTTCAAAAGAAGTCTTTGTCTTGCAAATTTCATCAGCTAGAGACTTCCAGACAGCTTTAGATGACAAGGACAACTATGTGTGACATTGATGCTCTGGTGCAATCCATGACACTTGCTAACATTCCTTCATGCCTGTTGGATCTGTAAGATATCTCATATGTACACTCCACTGCTAATCAATTTTCACAGGTAATACAGTTGACAGAGCCCAAATTATTGAAGGTTTAGTCCTGCCAAGTATGTCTATATATATATATATATATATATATATATATATATATATATATATATATATATATATATATATATATATATATATATATATGATATCACACATTAAGTGCTAGTGTTAATAAAATAAATCTGTAATATAACAGAAGTATTATGTATATATTAATATGTATTTTTTCCCTCTCCAGTGGTACATGAAACTCCAAGTTGTACTCCCATTAAGAAAAAAATGTATATTTATCAATATTTATTTTTATATATATATATATATATATATATATATATATATATATATATATATATGATAATGAAAAAAACCCAGATTACACCTCAATTTACAATCTATAAATGAGTAAAACATTTCTTCAGTTAGTTATTCTAAACATCGCTTGAGAATTAAACTGTATTCTACATTTTAAGTTTAATATAAAAATTTAACTTTAAGACTTGAGTCAAGTTTCAAAACAGTAATTTCTGTGTCATGATGAAATCAAATTTTAAAAAAAATTAATTATAATTTAAGCTCTACTTCTGTATCGAGCACTGTTTTTTAAAAATAAAAAATACTAAAGAACTTTGGATCATTAATCTAACTATTCTTTCCTATTGCATCAATATATATATATACACACAGGCACACACACACACACATATATATTATATACACAGTTTTTATTGAAGATGGCTGATAAGCTTTTTATTCAATTTTTTCTTGTATTTGTACAAGTATTTTCTTTTCTGAACATAAAATGTGTAAAAACTGTCCAAATGTTTTATATATCTGAGTGCTTTCAGCTATTCTATTCACTATTATCAAGGTCATGTTCATAGCTGATATTATTGATAATGGCTAATAGGAAAGTTGAAAGCACTTGGATCCATAGAAAATTTAAACAGTTTTTACATATTTTATGTCCATAAAAGAAAATACTTGTACAAATACAAGAAAAAATTAATAAAACCTTAATGACTGTATAATGTCAGTTGTTTTCAATGAAATTTGTATAAAAGATGGATTGTTGCCCAAATACACAATATATATATATATATATATATATATATATATATATATATGTATAGTATTAAGTACCAGAATTGCTGGTTCTTTTTCCAGGTGGAAAAGCCTTTTGGACTGGCAGGTTTTTGTCATAAAGTGCCCAATATCAAAAGATAGGATAGAGCATTAATAGAATTAATTTGGAGAAGTTTATCACTTGGCTGAGTAGTGTTGTTTGTTCAGTGATGCCTACTACATAGTTTTGTGAGCACATCAAGGTAGCATGATAACATGTTTACTCTTTAGGGTCTTGTTGTCTTTTCTGCAGCTAAGTGATAAACTTCTCCAATTCTATATATATATATATATATATATATATATATATATATATATATATATATATATATATATATATATATATAGGCAGTATGACTTCATTCAAACATGTTTCATTGAATAATATAGATATATTGTGTCTATTTATTGTTTTACTGATCCTTTCTGGTTCTATAATCAGTTTCTTGATGTTAAGATGAAATTCTTTAAGGAGGGGCTGTAGTTTTTTCTCACCCACATGCTTTCAATCTTTTCAAAGATCATCTTCAGAGGTAAATTACAAAACCAAACTTATTGTAACTACGATAAAATCTGCATTCCATTATGATGCTAATTTTTAAAAACATATGCAAATTTGCTCTGTCATTGTTATTTTAGAATTTTAAATTTATTAGTTGTAGTTATGGAATTTTTTGCAAAACAAGCATTTCAATATAAGCGTTTCAATATATATGCTCATTAGTATAAAATAAGCTGGAAACAGTAAATGAATCTGAGTGCTGAATATCACTGGACAGAGCATTAATATAACAATAAAATATTGTTTTAAAATATGTAAAGTACTTCAATACGACTCTGAGTTTCATGCTTTTGTAATCTTCATTGGTCCCACTTCTATATTACTGTGCTGAGATTTTGTTTAAATTCTTGCACCACTCACAATATATCTTTATAAACAAATGATATTTCAACTGAGTAGTAATGACTTGTACATTTTTAAACAATTCTGATCAAACATTCAGAAAAATGCCATTTTGCAATATGCAGTTTTCCATATTAACATCCCACTCCCAGATGTGTTAAATGCATAATCACGATTACAGCTACTTAATTAAAAGATAACAGTGGCTCATGGTCATATCACATTAAAACAAAAGCTCTCGTACAATCTCCAAAATTAAGCAGCATTGAACTTGGTCAGTACCTAAATGAGTGACTGCTTGGGAGTACCAGAGGCTGCAATTTTGGATGTGTGGGTGGTGTAATGGATAATGACTTGGAATTGGAAATCAGAGAGTCAAGTTCCAATTTCATTTAGGTTCATTATATTCACTTAGGCACAAATAACCTTGAGAAAGGCATCAATCCACCTCTTCTCCATCCAAAACCTTTTTACAGTCTAAAAATAATTTCTGACATTAAATAACCTACAAATGGTTGATAAGCTGTAAAAATCAAATCAATCAATCAAAAATCACTTTTACTTGCAATTTGGTTTGTGGAAATGGAACTGTCAACTTAAATTTATCTAACCATTAATTTTTATTTAGCAACTTTTTTTAATAAATTCTTTCTTTGTTGTTCAGAAAGTCTTGCAGAGTCAGCAGGTTAAATAATCTTGGAGAAAATGGACTTTGGTTTGATAGACTAATAATTACAACAAAGGAATAGACATAAGAATCTTTTTTGTCACTGTTCATTTTCTTTCCTTCTTACAAATCATCTTGGTTTTCATTTTTACTTCTTCTCTTCCTTTTAGTATATGTTTTTATGTGTCCTTTCTTTCCCCAAAACTGATAATTTTCTTCACTGAGTTTTTCTTTTTTACTTATTTCTTCTTTTCTTGTTCTTTCTTCTCCAATATCATTTTTTTTTATTCTTTTCTCTTTTCTTGCTCTTTCTTCTCCAATGCCTTCTTTTTTTACTCATTCTTGTTTTCTTGTTCTTTCTCCTCTAATGCCGTCTTTTCTTGTTTCTTTCTCTTGCTTCTTTCTCTTTTCTTGTTCTCTCTTCTCCAATGCCTTCTTTACTTGATTCTTTCTTAATTCTTTCTCTTTTCTTCTCCTCTCTTCCCCAATGTCTTCTTTTCTTGCTTCTTTCTCTTTTCTTGCCAATGCCTTCTTTTCTTATTTTTTCTTTTTTCTTGCTTTTTCTTCCTCACTTCTTTCTTTTCCTACTCCTTCCAATTTTCTTGCTCTTTCTATTCTCATTTATTCTTTTCTTACTCTTTCTTCTTTTTCTGTTTTCTTTCTTCTCTACCACTTTTCTCTTTCCCTGTCCTTCTCCTTTTCTTGTTTTCTTTTATAGTTCCTTCTTTTCTTGCCCCTTCTTTACCTCCTCCTTCTTATAGTTCTGTTGGCTGTTTTTCTTGTTATTTTTCTCCTCTTACTCTCGATTCTTCTTTGTGTTTGTCTCTTTTCCCCACTCTTTTCTTTTCCTTCATCCTCTTCTATGCTCTATTTTACTCCTTCCCTCTCTTCATTCATCTTATACTGTTCCCCTTTCCTCCACCTTATCTCACTCATCGCATTCCTTTTCCCTCTCAGTTCAACATCCTAGCTTAGTTAGAACAGGTGTTCCAATCATTTGAAATCTTTGAGGATTCTCTTCTTGTCTGTCTGTTTGTCCACATCTATTTCTGTCTTCCTCAGCTGTTTGGTTATCAAGAAATCCAGACAGCATTGTTAATATCTCTCAGGGTCTTACACTGGTCATTGCTTGCAGAAAAAGATTTACCCTGGCATAAAATCTGGCCAGTAGGGGAGAGGTCAGAGAATCAAGGGTAAAGCATATTGGCTGAGGGAACTGATACTATCTGGTTAGTCATGGGCTACTGAGTTCCTCTTTACCCACTATTAAGGTTCTTTTGACTTATTTTTTTTCTCTCTTTTTCTTTCTTTCTTTCTTTCTTTCTTTCTTTCTTTCTTTCCATGTTAAGCGTCTCCATCCAAATCCTATTTTCTGTTTTTTCTACTTTTTTGGTGCTGAGTGAAAATGAGATTGAATGGCTATAAGACAGTTACTCTGATAGAGAGAGTCTAAGAATATGAGACTGATTAAGAAAGAAAGAGCTGTGTTCTTTCTTATTTCAGGATTTAAGGGAAATTTCAGAACAGTCAACCCCTGAGGATGTTGATGAACCAATAATTGCTGAGAAACAGATTATACATTTTCTTCATTTACTGTTTTATCTGCTTTTATTCTCTTATTCTGTTATTCTCATATTCTCATATATATTCTGTCCAGTTTGGCATTTATTGCTACCATATGGAAAACAGATTACATATTCTTCTCACATTCTTTTATTCAGCTATTCTTATATTCTTTTGTATTTTTTTTCTTAATGTAAGCTATAATAGAAATCTGTTTATTTCTTGTTTAACAGCATAACAACTCCCTATGGCTTATTTAATGCCAAAGGTTAATTTTCTTGGGAGCTTTGAAGTAATAAAAATATGTTATTCTGCATTCACAATTGTATACATGGTAGATGATACTCAGCTTTTGTGTATATACATCTTTGTGTGGATATAATTAGTAGAGGTGTTGATATGTGTGTCTTATATTGCAATTTTGTTGAAGTTATACTTTGGAAGACATTTTGATTTAAGCAATTGTTGAGTATTGTATGGACTAATCTAAGGAAATTCTTTCCTGTTGATTGTTAGGTTGATTTTGGGCCAAATATATATATATATATATATATATATATATATATATATATATATATATATACAGTGTAACCGGATATAAGAGAAACCCAGATATAAGAGATTTTCTCTGGTCCCAAATTAGAGCCTGTGTTAATGTAAACAAAATAGACCAAACACGGATATAAGAGAAACGGATATAAGAGACTTCTCCAGTCCGACAACTCTCTTATATCCAGGTTACACTAATATATATATATATATATATATATATATATATATATGTATGTATGTATATATATATATATATATATATATATATATATATATATATATATATATATATATATATATATATATATATATATATATATATATATATATATATATATATATATATATATATATATATATATATTTACATGAAATAAAGAACTGTGACCATGTAAGGATTTGTAAATATGAGCATGCATATATGTATGCATGTCTATTTATATACATATATCTCTCTATCTCTCTCTCTCTCTTTCTCTCTCTCTCTCTCTCTCTCTCTCTCTATATATATATATATATATATATATATATATATATATATATATATAGACATAATAGCTGGCTACTCATTTCTGCCCATCTGCTTAGTTATGCTGGCTAGTCCCTGTTGCAGGTGCCTATTCAGGTACATTGATCTTTCTTCAATGCCTACAGATCCAGTCTTTGCTTTACACTGCAACAATGTTAAGTCGACCTTACTTACAGTTTCTGGAAGAGAGTGTATAATCTGGAGTAATCAATCATTGGATAAGGCCAGTACACTCAAACCCTCAGTCACAATGACTTGTGACTTTATGCTAACACAAACATAGACAGCTTCAGAACAGTATCTTCTATAGACTTTCACTCAAAAGGCTTGGGTCAACCAATATATTTTTCAGGTACTTCCTGATGGTCCCACACACTAGAATCATCTTCCTAAACTGATATTATTAAGAAGTCACCACTTTAACCAATTGACCATGATATGATTTGAACTCTGGTCTCATTGTTGGTACATTCACTAATGTTCGGACTATTCTGCCATATATTGGTTGATTGATTTTGTCTAGCGGCATGTCAACTTCTATGGGTTATTTCATGCTGAAATCTAAATATTTTGAACACAATTTTATGGCTTCAACTAAATATATTATGAATGCAATTGTATGCCTTCAACTACAGATAAAATGTATTGTTGGTCATTTTGCTATAAAATGTGTTGTTGGTAATTCTACTACAAAATGTATTGCTAGTCATTTCATTTTAAAAATGGATTGTTGATAATTTTTTTATAAATATATATTATCCCATTATTTACTTTGCTATAAAAATTAATTAGAAAAAAAGGGATTGTCAGGAGTCAGGTTTTTTTTTGTTAGTTGGTTGATATTGTTGAGCGTGGGTTGTTTAATGCCAAAATCTAAATATTTTGAACACAATTTTATGGCTTCAACTACAGTTCTAATGTATTGCTGGTCATTTTATTACAAATGTATGGTTGGATCTTTTCTTATATAAAAATGTATTACTGGTATTTTTATACTTTAATAGTACTTTGTTTTTGCTTGGTGGGGGATTCATTGTTTGCCCATAGCTGGGATCTTAACAGGTGCTACCACCCCAGGCAGTGGCGTAGTTAGAGTAAACGTCATCTGGGGCGGTCTGCTCAAATGTCACCCCAATGACCCCGATTCACCCTATGCTGAATGGTTAGCTGTAGCTAAATTTTCATACATGCTCTACCTCTACTTTACTCTACTGACCAGTACGTTACTGTTTACATGTATGATCCAAGACAAAATCGAATACAACAAAATAATCAGTTCAAATCAAAAGCTGAAAACATTGCTATTTTTCCTACTCACAAATTTCCCGACAATTTATTAGAAAATTTCTGATGGGGGGACAAAACTGGGGGGTCATAAATTATTTCTGGGGGGTCATATGCCAGCCTGCGAAACCCTGTGTCCCCACCACTGTTTTCAGACTATTTTTGGCACCCTAGCCTGGTTGAAAAATTTTGTTGGGAGTCACATTGTGTCACCCCTCCTGTGCTGGCACCCAGGGTGAACCTTGGAACAACAACAACTAAGAGGCACTTCTATGCTCCTCAAAACCTTGAATCTCTCGATCAGAGGCCTTGTTGTTGGATGAAGGTTATGGTTATACCCAGGACTCTAGAAATCTGTCACCAATGAGCACTTCAGGAAGTTTATGAAACTATAATTGATACCATTTGAGAAACATATTACATATTCTTCCTATATTCTCTTTTATTCTCTTATTCAGTTAGACGTACAGGTTGAGTATCCTTTATCTGAAATTCCCAAATCTGAAAACTTCCAAAATCTGAAAGTTTTTCAGGTGCTGACAAGACTTGCTACAAATAGAGAACATTTCAGAAAGCCCAGCTATGTAGCCTATGTTGGACCAGTTTTTTTTTTTTTTGTTAGCAACTGTCAAAGCAACACCTTCATTCATGGATTACTTACTAGGTGTTTTGTGCTCAGTAAAGATATTATTAAAAATGTCAAAAAATCCTGCATATTTATATATATTTTGTAAGCAGTGATCATATTTTTTGTACTTGTACAGAAAGTACAAAATATTATTTTTACGTGAAATTCTAATTTCACTACATAAAAATCTGTGCGAGTATTACACGACTAGCATCATTACCTGTATCTGTATGTACACAAAATTTACTAAATTTGATATAAATCTACCTTTACAGTATATGTATATGCCGTGTTATGAAATGTAAAGATATCCAGCTTGGGAATGAAACCCAAGTTTGTGCTTGGGTTTCATTCCCAAGCTGACCCATTTTATAGATGTTATACACAAATTAAATAGCCTGTATTCCAAAATCTGAAGCACTTCTGGTCCCAAGAATTTTGGGTAAAGGATTCTTAACCTGTATTTCTATGTATATTTTTTCTTAGTGTAACTTTAAATAAAAAATCTGTGTCCCATGAGTCCTTCAGGAAGTTTATGAATCTATAATTGCTACCAACTGGGAAACAGATTACATATTCGCCTAATAATTCTTTATTCCCTTATTCAGTTATTCTTATATTCTTTTGTATATTTTTTCTGATTTTAGGCTTTAAGTGAAATCAGTGAGCATTGAGCTTCTCAGAAGTTTATGAATCTATAATTGCTACCATTTGGGCAACAGATTACACATCCATCACATATTTTATTTTATTTCCTTATTCAGTTATTCTTATATTCTTTTTATATATATATATATATATATATATATATATATATATATATTTTATCTTTGGCTTTAAGTGAATTCTGTGACTAGTGAGCCCTTCAGGAATTTATGAACCTATAATTGTTTCAAACAGATTACATATTCTCCACATATTCTCTTTTATTCTTTTATCATGTTTTCTATGATAAAAACAAAAATGAAAAGTTTCCTTTGAAACATTTTATATTCCTTCAAATTTTCCATAGAGAACTTTCTTATCAAAACTGATTTCAACATAGTTTGGTTTCGTACGGAACAATGCACTTTTGTTAGATTTTCGGTTCTTGTTCTACATTTGAGAATGTTATATGAAAAGCAAGAAACAATTAATTACTCTTCAAATATTTCTATATTATAAAAGGCCAGTTGATTTTACACAATTTGGGTGTGGGATTATTATAGAAAATATTTACCTAGAAATGCTTTAAAATCATTTCCTCCAGAAGTGAAATTGCTTGATTTTGTAAATTTACTATAAATTATTATTTTTTAATTAATTGTTTAACTTTGCTATATTATATAAAGGAATTTTTAGGATTTTTATAGCATTCTTAATCTAATATTAAATTACTACAAAGACTGAATTCTTTAAAAATGATTAATAAAAATAAGGAGGAAATTTTATTTTTTTTGCCAAAACTCAGAATTCAAGAGTCAGATTTGACCAAAAATTATCCATCTGGATAAGAGCTGCTCAATTCTCACTTTCCAGTCTTGATAGAGTTCAAAATCATTTACACAGTTTTGCAGGGTATAACATATTTTCCACTTTACAGCCTGTTACCCACAGATGCAATGTTGCAAGCATATTGCTACCCTGTTGCTATTTCTATGGCAAATGTTCAGATGAGTTTGATTCTTTAGTTCCACCAGTTCAGACTTTTACTGCTAGGATATCCATTCCAAGTCCATGGAGTAGAATCATCATCATTTTCTCTATATTCCATTTGTCAGGAGGAAGTTCCATTCAGACAACTTTTTCCCAACAACTGCTACTTTTGCAAGTAGATGCTTCCCTGAACACTAGAATCTTAATCAAAA